TTTTTTTTTTTTTTTTTTTTTTTTACATGTTTATTCCAATATAGGAGCTTAAGAATCAGTCTTGATTAATTGTCCTCAGGGGCAAGGTGGAGTGCATGCATATTAACATAGGCAACTGTTTTGCCCTACTTAGAAGGAGATTCGGCATCGAAATACGTAGATCCTTAGACCCCTTGTGCCTCAGCTCTTATCATCAGCCCCCATAGTTACACCGCTCCAGAATCATATTATCTTGAGCTTCCACAATGGCCATTATATGCTTGGATGCAAAACATTTCTTCTAGGCACATGTCCAGCAAGAAAACTACAAGCTTCAAAACACTCGATGTCAGGGTTTTGGTTTTTTTAATCTTCTGTGAAGTCAATAATTATAATTAAAAGCTGTAAGCATTATCACATTAATCTGAATCTTAAGGCAAGTTGACTTAAGAGACCTACCTCTTTTTCAGGTACTTGAAGTAGGGAACAATTTTGTGCCAAACCACCTGGAATATTTGTTTAGTTAGCCTGCTGAATGTTTGTTATGCAGGTGGAGGTATTTTCTTTTAAACTGTTTTTAATAATAGGACAGTTTACAGAACATGGAAAAAGCATTTTTAATGAGAGGAACTAGTGTCTTTTGCTTGGATACCACATGCCCTATTCCCCTCAATTACACACTGAGCTCAGTGGGTTTCCACAACTATACTGAACAGGAGAAACTGAGTCTAATTTCTGATTTTTTTTAGATAAACTTGCATCTTCTTTAACTCTAACCCACTGCAAAGCTTTCATTAGCATAAGTTTATATATCCATCGGGCTTTGGATTAGTCCCCATATGACTTTTCCAATCCATCTCAAAAAAGAAAAGTTACTCTCTACAATTCTGTACCAGTTAAAGCAGGGTTGTCCAGCAGCCTGTGAAGGGTTAACACGTGGTCCCCAGACTCCACCTAGCTGCCACTACTCCCCATTGCTTCAGCTGCAGCAGCTGGATTCTTGGGACTCCCCTTCACTCACCCAGCTTCTGCTGAATGCCCCTACCCCAGGGGGCAGGGCAGGGCAGTGTGGCACAGCCTGTGGTGCCAGGAGAGCCATCACCCTGAAGTGCCCATATGGCATGGTGCCACAGAAGAGCCTGCAGGGAGCAGAAAGTAAGGAGGGGCACCACACCATGCAGGGGAACACCAGCCTGCGCAGTGCAGCGAGATGCACAAGCGCTCATGTGTGCACAGTGCTGTGGTGTGGAGTTGCCCACACATGCATGCAGCTCACCCAGCAGTCTACAGCACCCAGCTGTTTTGATGATGAACAGACTTGAATTAAAACATGGTCTGCTAAAAGACTTGTTCCCCCTCCAAAGACATTTGCAGCTGGTTGGAATCCAGTGTTAGACTGCAGTCCCTGGCTGTGGAAGTTAGTATTAGTATCACAGATAATTATTCTGTAGCAATTGTCCATGTGAAAGGTCACTGGGCACAAGTGTTACACATTTGGAATAATAAAGAGGAAGCAAGGCCAACACTAAAGTTGAGCAAATTTGGAGGAAAAGAGAGACCTAAAGACAAGTATCAGTGCTTCAGAGGACAAAGTTCCCAAAACACCCAGCTTTAAAGAAAGAAAACCAGAGATGCTAAAAGTATATTTCCCAGTTATTTTTTCAGATTTCCTCCACTACTGGCTTTAGTGGGTTAACCTGCCTACTATAATCAAATTACACAATTAATGTAACTGAACAATATAAAAATGTACATTGGATGAAAGGAAGATGTTTTCTACCATGATGCCTTGAGAAAGATAAACAGAAGTTACAATAATGTAGTTCTACTGTCTTACCATTGTATACTTACGTGAATCAACAAGACCACCCAGAACAATGGGAGAAGCTCCATCTTCTAGAGTGCTGGTTTAAGTTCTTTATATACAGGCATGTCAGAGTACGGACACCCAGACATTTGGAGGCATTTCAAAAGGTATGTGTGTGCCTAGGGAGGGTGACTCTTGCTCTGAGCTGTACAGCAGCTAACATCCTAACATCCATGCATGGTCAAAGAGAAAAATATATATGTAGCAAAACAGTTCTAACTTTAACACCACTCCATCCAGGAGTAAAGCTGGAGCAGTTTTGCTCTGTTTGTGTCATTCCCAGCTTGTCCATATGCAACTGTCAGAAGTAACAACTGCTGTGGGCTTTTTATCAGCAGCTCCCCTTTTGAAATGGCTCCAAACGTACACATGCCTATACCCTCTAAGCAGAGCTATACAAAGGGTCACAACAGTCAAATGAAAAAATTATTTTGAGTCCCTCAATAAGTCAAAGCATCATACAATTCCCCACTCCTAACTTATTCCCCAGTGTACTGCTATGCAAATGAAACACTTCCAGAAGCAGAGCTGTCCCCATCCCCTTCAGCACCACAGTATATAATTTATTTAAAGCACTGGAACAACTAGTTAGTGATTTAATTCAAAGTAAAGCGGAGGGACTTACTGACCCATGGATGACTGCTTTGCAGGTCCACTAAATCCCATAGTAAGGGAAAGCTAAACTTTAGTAACTGCCTTATTTTTTTCATTCAAAGTAAACTGCCATTTATTGTAGAATAGTACCTTTCCCCTTCCCACCTTTTAACTCAGTATAATGTGTTTGTCTGTCCATACTCTACCTTATAAATAACAAAGAATAAGTTTGCTATTTCCTCTTGCTAAGTGTCATAAGTCAGGCACTCCATCTGTTCTCCTATAGGACGGGGTAGACAATCCCCGGCATGCATGCCAGAGTGCCGTGCGCAAAGGCATTTTGCTTGGCATGCATGCCTCAGAGAAGGGGCTGGGGCTGTGCTGTCACAACAAGGATTGGGCCAACCTCTGACAACTCACTTCTTACAAGTCAAGATTGTGAGTGTTTTTGGCACATTTGCCCAAAAACGTTGCCTATGTCTGCTATAGGAGGTGAGGGAAATCCTTTTACCCCAAGTTTACAGGGTCAGTAATACTGAATTATGGCTTTTCCTGAAGCCTTGAGACTGGCTGATGCCAACTAGCTGTTGCAAAGAACGGAAGTTGATTATTAAGAAAGAGAAATTAGCTGGTTATAATAGCATTAAAGCCATGCCACAGACAGCTTCTTTAGGTTAAGGATGCATTTCTGTCAAAACGCAGGAGGTGCGCTACAGCAACCTATTAATACATATCCTGCTGTGGCTTATTTCTATATGAAGTCACATTTTGATGGTTATCACATTCGGAAAATAGGAGAAATTAGACAAAAGATGCTACGGTTCCATCAACACATCGAGGCCACAGACCCCTGGTGTGAGTTATCATATATAAGCAAGTTCTTCTGTTGCTAGTGCTACACTCTTGAAATAAAGAAACTCTACTGACAGAAGTGAGTCCAGACCAGGATTTTGGCTGGCAGATTTTCCTTGTCTACATGGTATACCTTTTCACATCCTAACAAACATAGCTATGTCAAAACTTTGTAACAGACAGAGCTTAAGCTACTTTAAGAGTTGCTTGTTTACCTTTAAAGAATTTAGAACTGATCATTGCTGGGCAATTTCAAATTGTGCAATTCTTCATTTTTATTTATGCATAATTACATACCCAAATACATCTACCAAATGCTCAGCCTTTCATCTTTCCAATAAAATCACAGCTGTAGATTCATGAGCTCATTTATATCAGCTGCGAAAGTGGCTAAAATAATTAGACCGGTTTGACTGGAATTCTAACAAAAAAATAATGTGTGCTTACTTAATACACCACCTCTCTGCTGCTTAATTTTTAAATATTTGCCCAATCCCTCATTTAAAACATGTTGCTCTCCTACTCCTTAGGATGAGAAGAATATTTAGTTGTCAAAGTTATGAAATAGCTGTGAGGCTGAAAAGAATTAGCAGCTTCAGGAGAACTGTGGAATTTTACCATTACTTTTTAGAGTAACAGAGGTGATTAAAACAGCTGAAGTTAGAACATAATCCTGTTAGCTGCACTAATAATTACAAGCTTCAATGACAGGGAAAAATGCTGCAATTACTATGTCATCTGTCTTGTCATGACTAGACTAATTACTATCCTTGCTATGACACCCACTTTGCTTATCCTTTGCATCCAAAATGTAGAGATCCACATACATTTGTCAGCAACTCCACAGCTTATCTCGCAACATTATTCAAAGCCAGATAAGAATATTTTCTAGGGCCCTTTGGAAAAAAGGCAGCACAGTAGCTAATACAGTACTGTACTCACGTACTGAGCTTTTTAATTTTTGTTTTTTTGCTGAATTTTTCTACTAGTGAAGGTGAGATTACTAGAGCTCAGTAACCTCAACGGAGGTTTAAATTGGATATTAGGAAAAACTTTTTCACTAGGAGGGTGGTGAAACACTGGAATGTGTTACCTAGAGAGGTAGTGAAATCTCCATCCTGGGAGGTTTTTAAGTCCTGGCTTGACAAAGCCTTGGCTGGGATGATCTAGTTGGGAATGGCCCTGCTCTGAGCAGGGGTTTGGACTAGATGACTTCCTGAGGTGCCTTCCAATCCTCATTTTCTATGATTCTGTTATTCTAACCACCATCCAGGGAACAATTATGATGCACGCAGCAGCAGCATCAACATTTTCTTATACACCCAACTCTTCCTAACCAGAAAGGTTATAAAAAACCATTTAGTTGAGGAAGTTTCATAGTTGGTAGGGTCGGAAAGGACCTGAGCAGA